CCCACCTTCGCAGCCAATCACAGCCCGCGGAGCCGCTACCGTACTGCCCCGAGCAGCAGCGCAGAGCGGGTGCGCGGGAAGAGAAGCAAAGCGCGGGAGTGCGCGGCTGCACGAGGAAATACGGCGGGAAGGCAGAAACGCGCCTACGGCATGGCCCGGGTGTGAACGTGTGTGTGTGTGTGTGAACATGTGTGTACATGTGTGTGTGTGAACATGTGTGTGTGCATGTGTGTGTGTGAACATGTGTGTGTGTGTACGTGTGTGCGTGTACGTGTGTGTGTGAACATTTGTGTGTGCGAAAATGTGTGTGTGTGTGTGTGTGCACGTGTGTGCACATGTGAACGTGTGTGGGCATGTGTGTGCGTGTGTCTGCATGTGTGAACGTGTGTGCATGTGTGAACGTGTGTGTGTGTGTGTGCATGTTTGTGTGCATGTGTGACCATGTGTGTGAACGTGTGTGTGCATGTGTGAACGTGTGTGCATGTGTGAACGTGTGTGTGTGCATGTTTGTGTACATGTGTGACCATGTGTGAAGGTGTGTGCATGTGTGAACATGTGTGTGCACGTGTGAATGTGTGCATGTGTGAGTGCACGTGTGAATGTGCGTGTGCACGTGTGAATGTGTGTGTGCATGTGTGAACGTGTGTGCACGTGTGAACGTGTGTGCACGTGTGAATGTGTACATGTGTGAATGTGTGTGTGCACGTGTGAACGTGTGCGTGAGAACATGTGTGAATGTGTGTGCATATGTGAACGTGTGTGTGTGCATGTGTGAGTGCACGTGTGACCGTGTGCATGTGTGCACGTGTGAACATGTGTGCATGTGAGATGCGTATGCACGTGTGAACAGGTATATGCATGTGAGAACATGTGTGTGCACATGTGAACGTGTGCATGTGAGAACGTGTGTGTGCACGTGAGAACGTGTATGCATGTGAGAACATGTATGTGCACGTGTGAATGTGTGCACGTGAGAACACGTGTGAACATGTGTGTGCACGTGAGAACGTGTGTACGTGAGAACACGTGTGAGGTGTGTGCACGTGAGAACGTGTGCACGTGAGAACACGTGAGATGTGTGTGCACGTGTGCATATGTACATGCGAGAATGTGTGTATGTGTGCGCACATATGAACACGTGTGCACATGACCGTGTGCGTGCACGCGCGGCCACGCGTGTGCATGTCTGTATGAGTGCGTACACACACGTGTGCACACCGGGGTCACCCCATGCCCTGCACACACACAGGGCACGTCTGCAGCCCCCCCCCATCCCCTGCACATCACCCCATGCCCTGCAGAGCACCGCAGCACCCCAGAATGGTTTGGGTTGAAGGGACCTTAAAGCTCCTCCAGCTCCAACCCCTGCCACGGGCAGGGACCCCTTCCACTGGAGCAGCTTGCTCCAAGCCCCTGTGTCCAACCTGGCCTTGAGCACTGCCAGGGATGGGGCAGCCACAGCTTCTCTGGGCACCCTGTGCCAGCGCCTCAGCACCCTCACAGTAAAGAACTTCTGCCTTATCTCCACCCATTTATGTCTGGATCCATCACCCCTGTCCTGTTGCCACCCGTGCACCACCCCATAGCGCACACGAGCATCACCCGGCAGCACCCGCACCCAGACCCCGCAGCAGCGTGGCTCCTCCTCGCCTTTAATGAGCGCGGAGTCGGGGTTCAGGGGGGAGCCCCCATCACTGCTGCAGGGCCCCCAGGCTGTCCTTCATCTTCTTGGCCATGGTGGGCACCAGGCGGAGGTGGTCGTCCCCGCACGCAGCCAGGCAGGCGTCGAGCTGCCCGCGCACCCTGGCCTCCGCTGTCCCTGCATCCAGAGCATCCTTCGCCTTGTCATTGCAATGCAGCGTGCAGCGGCTCAGGCGGTCCTGGGGACACAGGTAACGGGGTCAGTGGGTACCGGGGCATCCCCATCCCGGTGCGGGCTGTCCCATCCCGTCCTCACCTGGAAGCTCTCGAGCTCGGCGGTGACGATGGCCTGCGCCTGGGCGAGGGGCGCGTGGCAGCGCTCGATGCAGCGCTGCACCTGCTGCATGGAGGCCGCGCTGTCCTCGCAGCACCGCGCGCTGCACCGGAACATGGTGCCCTGTGGGGATGTGGGGTGAGCGGGGACACCCCAAACCTTTGTGGGGGAGCACCCTGTGTATGCAGCTGGGGGGGGACGATGGACACATGGGGGTGCAGGGTAATGGGGGCACAGGGTGTGATGGGGATACAGGGCAATGGGGTGTAGAGGGTGTGATGGGGGACGCAGGGCAGTGGGGGCACAGGGTGTGGTGGGGGATGCAGGGCAATGGGGTACAGGGTGTGATGGGGGGACATGGCAATGGGGGCACAGGGTGTGATGGAGGGCACAGGGCAATGGTGGGTACAGGGTTTGAAGGAGGACACAGGGCAATGGGGGCAGAGGGTGTGATGGGGGATGCAGGGCAATGGGGGCAGAGGGTGTGATGGGGGGCACAGGGCAATGGCGGGTACAGGGTGTGATGGAGGATACAGGGCAATGGGGGCACAGGGTGTGATGGGGGGCACAGGGCAATGGGAGGGCAGAGGAAACGCACTGGGGGGAGTACAGGGAATATGTAGGGGATAGAGGATGTTGTGGAGGGTACAAGGCATGTGTGGAGGGCACAGGAGATGCAATGTGGGGAGCACAGGCTGTGAGGGGGGTACAGGGCAAAGTCTGGAGCTATGGGGGGGGCTCAGGGCAACGGGTAAAACAGGGTGTAATGTGGGGGTACAGGACAATGGGGGCACAGGAGATGCACTTGGGGATCATAGGACATACATAGAGGACACAGGACATGTTGGGGGGCACAGGGCACATTAGGGGGGCACAGAGTGCATTGGAGGAGCACTGGAGACGCAATGGGGTGGGGGCACAGGGCAATGTGTGGGGGCACAAGACATGCAGGGGCGGTACAGGTCAATGCATAGGGGGCACAGGACGTGTTGGGGGGCACAGGACGTGTTGGGGGGCGCGCACGGGGCTGGGGGCTCCCGGCCGCACTCGTGCTCACACACGTGGGGCATTGGGGGGGGGGGGCGGCAGCGGCTCCCCCCTCGGGGCCAGGGCCCGGTCCCGGTCCCGGTCCCGTCCCCGTTCCCCCCCTCCTCCGGTACCTGCAGGCCGCGGATGCGCTCCCGCTCCAGCTCCTGCACCGCGCCCTCCACCGCCGCCTGCACCCGCGCCTGCGCCGCCTCCGCCATCGCGGCCCGGCCCTGCCGAGCGCTGACCCCGCCCCGGGGGCGGGCACCGGCACCAGCGCCCGGCTCCTCCCGTTCCGCCCCCGCCGCGGGTCCCGCGGGGCTCCCGGTGCGCGCACGCGGTACCGAGCCCGCGCTGCGGATGCGCCCCCCCCCCCCCCCCCCCAAGCAGCATCTCCCGGTCCTGCGCCGGGGGCGTCGCCCTGCGGAGGGGCCCCACTGGGAGCGCTGGGGTCCGGTGTGAGGATGGAGCCCCCCCAGCCCTGCTCCTCATGCAGCAGGAACAGGATCAGCCTCAGCCATCCATACACCCACCCATCCATACACACATCCATCCATCCATACACCCACCCACCCACCCGTCCATACACACATCCACCCATCCACCCATCCATCCATCCATACACCCACCCGTCCATACACACATCCACCCATCCATACACACATCCACCCACCCATCCATACACACATCCACCCACCCATCCACCCATCCATCCATCCATACACCCACCCGTCCATACACCCACCCACCCACCCGTCCATACACACATCCACCCATCCATACACACATCCACCCATCCACCCATCCATCCATCCATCCATCCATCCATCCATCCATCCATCCACCCACCCACACACACATCCACCCATCCACCCGTCCATTTATCCATCCATCCATCCATCCATCCATCCATCCATCCATCCATACATCCATCCTTCCGTCTGTCCATCCACCCCTACACCCACCCACCCATCCATCTGTCCATTTATCCATTCTTCCATCCATCCACCCGTCCATTTATCCATCCATCCATCCATCCTTCCTTCCTTCCTTCCATCCATCCATTCGTCCATCCATTCGTCCTTCCACCTACCATCCATCCATTCGTACATCTGTCCATCCCTCTGTCCACCCATCCATCCTTCCACCCACCCACCCACCCTTCCTTCCATCCATCCATCATTTGTCCATCTGTCCATCCGTCTGTCTACCCATACATCCATCCTTCCGTCCGTCCATCCACCCATACATCCATCCTTCCGTCCATACATCCATCCATACATCCATCCTTCCACCCACCCATTCTTCCTTCCATACACCCATTCATCCATCTACCCATCCTTCCTTCCATCCATCCATCCATCCATCCATCCATCCATCCACCCATCTTCCCTTCCATCCATCCATTTATCCATCCATTTATCCATCCATTTATCCATCCATCCATCCATCCATCCATCCATCCATCCATCCATCCATCCATTTATCCATCCATCCACTTATCCATCCATCCACCTATCCATCCACCCACCCATCTTTCCTTCCATCCATCCATTTATCCATCCATCCTTCCATCCATTTATCCATCCATCCATCCTTCCTTCCTTCCATCCATCCGGCTATCCACCCACCCATCTTTCCTTCCTTCCATCCATCCTTCCTTCCTTCCATCCATCCATCCATCCCTCCCTCCATCTATCCATCTGTCCATCCATTTATCCCTCCCTCCCTCTCTCCATCTATCCATTTATCCATTTATCCATCCATCCATCCCTCCCTCCTCCCTCACCTCATGTTTTGGGCTGGAAACATAGGGAAACAAGGCTGAACCCAGCACCAGGTTATCAGGGCTGCCCTGTTTGGGCTGCAAATGTAGAGGGAGCAGCGCTAAGCCCATCACCAGGGTACCAGTTCCGCGCCCTGGGGATTCTCCCCTTGCACCCAGCATCTCCTTTGCCAAATATCCCCCCAAAAAAGCCTTGAAACACGTGTTTTCTGAAAAAAAGTGTCCTTTATATCACTTAAATAACTCTAATCCAGGTATTAGGGGAAAAAAAAAAGATCAGCTGATCACAATAACATATTATAGAAATCAACATTAATTTAACCACACAAAATAAATTAAAACATTAAATATTAACTTTCAGTGCAACATATACAGAAGACATGAGAGTAACCAGGACTTTAAAACAGAACGAAACCAAAATGAACCATGAAAGCTTTGGGTTGTTATGAGAAAAGACTATGGAGAGGATTAAAGGCTGCGCCGGGAGGTTAGAGCACCGGCCTGACGAGGGTTCCTAGGATTAAAGTTCATTTGATTATTACTAAAAAGCTCATTTCTGCCCCCAAAGTGAGCGACTGCTGAGGGGTTCTGTCTCTATAGAAAAATAAAGCCCCCTCCTGCAGGGGTGAGGGGTTCTGCTGTTAAAAAACGCCAAAAATAATCCAAGAAATAGGAAAAAACGAACCCAAAAGCCAACAAAAAAACCCAGTTGTGCGTTGCTGGGTTTGGCTCTTTGGAGAGGGTGATGCTGCTGCCAGCATCCTTGTGGTGCTGCCGACCGCACCTTGTGCCGGGGCGCTTCTTGTCGTGTTCCATGGTGGGGGAAAAGGGGGAATAAAGGCAAAAAAAAAAGGGGGGGGAAACCAACCAAGCAACCAAGAAGGAAAGAGGGAAACCAGAGGGGAGAGGCTGCGCTGGTCCCCGGCGAGGGCTGTCCTGGGCGAGGGGCTCCATCAGACCCCTGCGGGGAAGGGGATGGCGAGCGCGGTTACACACCAGCAGCCGGTGTCCCACCGTGGTGCCCCGCGGTCCCCTTACCCGTCTCAGTGTGGCAACAGGGGGTTCCCCCTTTCAGGAGCCCACCCGGCTTCTCCTGGCCTCCCCCAGGCGCCCGGCACCATTGGCAGTGCTTCCGCAGCCGGCAGCAGCTACAAGGGAGCAAGGAGAGGGATGCTCAGTGCCTGCATCCCAGCATCCTGCCCTGGAATGGGCTGGGAAAGGTGCTGAGCACCCCCCCCTTCAGGTCCCCAGCACCATGTACTTACTGTATGAGCACACAGACCCCGATGAGCAGCGCCGAGGCCACCACTGACACCACCACCAAGGCGGTGATGGTCTGCTTCTTCTGGTTGGCAGCCACCACAGCCAGGAGGTCGGCGTGCTCGCACCGCGTCCCCACGTACCCCGAGTGGCACCTGCACCAATGGAAGAGCATCGGCGTCATCCCCAGGACCAGAGCATCAACCAGAGCCTGGCAAAGCCATGCTCAACCCCAGGTTTAGGGGCTTCCCAAAGGGAAGACACAAAGGACCCGTTTGGATTTGGATTGCAGGAGTGTATTCCCAGCACTTACACGCACGCCGGCTTGTCCTCCTGGACCAGGAACCGGCAGGTCCCATGGAAGCAGAACTGGCTGTGAGAGTCGGGACAGTCGTTGAAGTGGGACCTCACTGCTGCTGCCACCGGTGGGCCCGGAGCTGGGAGCAAAAACAAGGAGGAGAAAAATGGCATTTGGGGGCATTTCCAGGCATCCCCGGCTCTGGTTTAGGGCTGGATGCGTTTATTTTGGGGATGCAACGTGGGATGCGGTCCAGCGGCTGCATCCTGGCCAGGACCACCCAAAGGAGCTCCTACTTAGAGCAGGACTGAAACTAAGCCTCGCTGGCACTAAAGGAATTTCCTAAAGAGCTTAAGGCTTAAAACAGAGGAGGAGAGAGTTAAATAACACCCGAGCCGGCTGCAGCTCTGGACCGGTGGCTTTGGGATGCTGTTTCCCATTATATCCCGCGCTGGTTTGAATTATCCTCCGCAGCAGAGACGGAAAACAAATATCCTGCTTTCGGATTAGCCTGGGTATAAAGCACATCCGATCGCTGTCGTTTCAAAGCCACCTCAAGTTCCTGTTGCTGTGAATTTATGGCAGGCTGGGGTAATTAAACCCACGTCTGCCGAACGCTTCCGGGTCTCCGAGGAGGTGAAGCAAGGGAAGACGGAGCAGGGTCGGCTCAGACAGGGATGTTTCCCCATGTCCCTGTCTCCGAGAGTGAGGAGAGAGGAGGTTTGGAGGTGGTGGCAGCATCCTTGTGGAGCCAGGAGCTGGGATTTGGGCTCCGTGGTGGGAATTGCTGCTGCATTGCATCGCTGCTGAAATCCGCGCCCGGGTGCAGAAAACCCCAACACTTCCATCCTTAGGGATTGCTTTATCCCAGGACTGCCCTGATTCCCGACTAATCCCATGAAAAATACCCCTTTTTGGGGTTTTAACCCCAAAAAGCCAAGCCCTCAACACAGCTTTGCACATCCCTTCTTCCAGTGCCCACCATCGCACCCAGCCTCAGTAGCGGTGGCTTTGTAGCACCGGTGGGGACAGCATCAGCACAGGGCAGTGCATCCCTGGATCCAGGGCTGGCTCCGGGGTGTCCTGGCTCGCATTAAGCCTTGGAGCGCTCACAGCTGCCGGCCACATTGCAGCTACTTCATCCTCCCTTAGCCCCACGCTGCTGCCTGCATGGACCCTGTCCCCATCCACGAGGTGATCCCAAACTGGTGCTGCACCTCTTGGAGCAGCCCCTTTCCTCCAGCCCCTGTCACTGGGCACCGATCCATTGGGAAAGGGGCTGAGCAGCGCCTCTCCTGCCACGGGGTTTGGCTCCGAAGCCTCCTGGCACTGCAGGAACACCACTGAGCCATCCCATTTTCCAGCCCCAAAAGGAGGATTTTCCATCCCTTGCCTGCAACCAGCCCTTTCCGGAGCCTCGCATCCCGATGGATGGCGAACCCCCGCGCTGTGTAGGGCAGGGGGAAGCGAAGGGCTCTTGGCTGCTGCTGCCCATTGTGCTGCTTTTATGAATGAGGCTCATTATGGGATGTGACCGGCTCGGTGCCGCTGGGAGCCGGCGTCAGGCACCGGCAGCTTCCCTGTGGGAGCCACGGTTAATGGGACCACGGTTCATTCAGCCCCTCCAGAACACGGAGCATGGGAAGTACCCACAGCAGAGCCCTGCTTACTGGTTTTCCCTTAGGGATAAAGCACCTGTGGGGCCAGGATTCCACCTGGAGACCTGTTATCCCCAAGGGAGGTGCATGGGACGCGAGAGCATCCATCCGGCTGATCCAGCACATGCGTGGCATGAGGATGCTTTACCCACACCCGCGCTTCGCTGCCTGTTCCCAGGCTGGTCCATAAATCCCACCGGGATCACACCGGCTCCATCCCATCGGCAAACTCACCGCTCGGATCTGCTGTGGTGTTCTCCAGCGCATGGCATGCAGCGAGCAGCACACCTAAGGAGAGGACAGAGAGATGGGGTCAGTTGGACCACGTCCCTGTGCCGAGCCTGGTTGATGGCTTGGGGGGTGTTCTACCCAAAATCACCCCAAGATTTATGGGTTTTGGTAAAAAGAGATGGCAATGGTGCCTGTGAGAGCGCCTTATAGCCAGAACAGAGCCTGAAACCAGCCTGTCCATGTGCTCTCTCATCTAACAGCTCCATGCAGCACTGCCTTGCATAGCTCCTCCTGCCCGCATCCGCACAGTGGGACCGGATCCAGCCTTGATGCAGCCGCTCCATCAGCCCCCTAAACGCTGCCCGGGCTGGAAGCGCTGCTGCTGTGCAGGCAGGAAAGCCCTTTGCAGGCAGCAATGCCCACGCACCCCAACCTCGAGGGGCTGCAGATCCAGGCAGGCTCAGAACAGTTTGGGGGGGCATGGAGCAGAATGGGGACCCCCCAAGCTTCCACAGGGTGGGTGAAGCCAGATGAAGCCAAGAGCCCCTTGGCTGGGTTTGACCCAGTTTCCACCATGGAGTTCACCCAATCATGCAGAAAGGTGACGGGTGAGAGAACAACGCATGAACCAGCCCTTGGGGTTCGCATCCAGCAAGGCTCAGCACCAACCGGCAGCTCCAGTTGTGATCGCAGCAGCTCCGTTATCACAGCAGCATCCCTTGTTTCGGCTTTTCCCCATCAGTCCCCACTGGTGCCAAAGCCCTCGGGCATCTTCCTCCCATGGGAACTGAATCAGAAATACTCCGTTTCTTCCCAATTTTCCTTCCTTTTTGTGCTGCCACCAGCAGCTCGTGGCTGGAAGATGCTTCATCCTCCTGCTCGCGCCGATATTGCATCTCCACATACGCGTTACGTGGGAAATGGCTCATCCCTGTGTCACTGGGCGGCTCTATCATCCCCTCCAGCATTCCAGCTTCCCCATCCTCCTGCCGGGACCCTGCTCAGCTCCAGAGGTGCCTCTTCCCAACCTCCCTCCGTCTGCAGGTAGAGCACCAGCGCTCTTCCATCTCCAAGGGCTCCCAAAAGGGGACCCTGGGCACGCTATGGAGGCACGGAGCATCCGCACCCTTGCGACCGGCCCAACCGGGACCCACAGCCTGTGTCCACCCGCTTGTTTATCATCAATCCCATCCCAGCCCCGTGCTCAGGCCTCTCTCTTCCCAAACCTTAGAGATCAACTCCTGCACTGCTTTGGTTTTACCCCAAACTCCGTGCTTGGCCACACCGGCCAAACCGCTGCCTCCAACCCCATCCCCATCCATCCCCTGCTGCCCCTGCTTTGGGAAGGTCTCTTTGCCACCCCCCCCAAGCCAGCAAAGCCCCCCTGAACTCACCCAACTTGCTGATGGGCACACACACAGCTCCATCCCCAACACGACATTAACCAGCAGCCAACAGTGAAGGGCTCAGCCTCACCCCTGAGGAGCTCCCTGTTATTGCTGGGTTCTGTTCCCTGCCCCAGGTTTTCCCTCCTCATCTGCTTGGCTCTGCTTTTCCTCTTGGCTTCATGGACCAGCCCTTGGCAGCCATCAGGTGAATGAATGGACACTGGGCCGAGGAGGTTCCCTTTTTCCCTCATGCTTCAAGCGGATGCTCCGAGCTTCTGGTTTGATGTGGTTTATAAAGGGCTCCTCTCCCTGCGCAGCATCTGGGGTGGCTTGGACCCATCCCAGGCTGGAGGCCGGGAGCAGCCATCTGGATACGGGATTGAGGTGGGAAATCCACAGCTCAGGCCCTAAAACGGGTTGGAGAGGTCCAAAGCCACGGGAGCAGAGGGGACATTGGCATCCCCAGAGCGAGCCGATGGGACCCTCTGGAGGAGGGATGGGGCTGACGGAGCAACCGGCCCCTGCGGCGAGGGCTGCTCGGGACGGAGCGGATGGAGGAGGCACCTCGGTTCCAGAGCCAAAGCGGCAGCGCCGAGAGGAGAAGGGCTGGAGGGGGGCCAAGACCGGGCACTTTCCTGAGCCCAAGTGCTTCAAAGAGCCTCTCCCCGCCGGGCTGGCGCTGCCTCGTCCCCCAGCCCCGCTGCTGCGGGCGACGCAGGCTGGGAACTCACAACGCTCCCTTGGGACAGCAGCAAAACCCCAACCGCAGCGCAGCGAGCGCTGCCCCACACCGGCCCCAGCCCCGGGCTCACCTTCCCATCACACACACGCATCCCAGCGAGCGGCACCCACCGCCGGCTCCGCGCTCTCGGTAACGACCCCATCTCCGGGCTGGGGAGCGTGTTCGGATCCGTCCCATCGCAGCATCCCCCGGGTCTCGCTTGCGCCCGCCTCGCCCCGTTCCGCAGCACGCAGACAACGTCCCCTCCGTCCCACCGCCAGCCCCGAGCACGCCGCCGTTCATTCACCTCTCCCCTAACGCAACCGGACGGGACCGGAGGGCTCCTTGTCCCGCCGGGGCCGCGCTTCCCCGTCGTGGCGAAGGCGAGGAGCGGTTCAGCAGCGACCTCCGGCAGGGACCGCAGCCAGGATGGAACCGATTCACTGCGTGACCCCCCCCCCCGTTCCCCTTCCAGTCCCCCATAGGGATGCTGCGCCGGGATGCGCGGGGGGCTCCGTCCCAGCCGACGGGAAAGTTTTGGGGAGCGCAGCCCCAGTCGCCCCCGTCCCTCCAATCCCACCCCAAACGGGGCTGGCGGCAGCTCGACCCCTGCCTTGAGCGGCGCTCAGGGTACGGCGGTACCGGGGTACGGGGGGTACCGGTTCCCCCCCTTCCTCCTTCCCCATTCCCGCACCTACCCACGGCCAGCGCGGCCGCCGCCTCTCCGGCCATGCTGTCGGTGCGTCCGGGAGCCGAGGCCCGCAGGGAGGCCCGGGGCCGGTGCGGGGCCGGTGGCGGTGCCCAGCAGCGCAGCGGGGCGAGGGGCCGGGCTCCGCGCCGGCGGAAATGGGCGCGGACTCGCCGCCAGCCACTGCGGCCCCGGGGCGGAGCCACCCCCGGACCCCCCCCCCCCCCCCCCCCCAAGTGCCATGGGGCTCGGTTCTTGCGTTGTGTCCCCGTCCCCCCCCCCATCCCGAAAGTGGGTCCGGTTCGCGCGGTGTCCCCATAGAGCCACGGCCTGAGGGGGGGGTTAAAGGGACCTTAAAGCTCACCCCCGGCCATGGGCAAGGGCTCCTTGCGCGGCTCCGCACGGGTCCCATCACCCTGGGTCCATCCAAACCCCGCTTCCCCCCGGTTGGGGTTCCCCCCTCACGGCCCACAGGCACATTCCTTCATGTGGCCCAGCTCCCACGCCCCTTCCTCGCCTCCCACCCCGCTGAGCCCGGCCTTCGTCATCCCGAAATCCATAGGTTTCCGTCGGGGGGGGGGGAATCCCGTTGCATGGGGATGGAGGGGGCAGCACATCCCGGTGGGGTGATGGGGACCAAGCACGGCGCTTGGAGGGTCATTCCTCATGGACAGACACATCAGGAGCATCCTGAGATGCGGCAGAGGACCCCATGGACCACCCCCCTGCAGCTGTGCCGGTGCTAAACCAGGTCCCTGTGGGAGCTGCTCCCAGCCCTGCGGTTTGAGCCTTCCCGGTGTTCCCAGGTGATACCATCTCCCCTTAGCACTTGAAAGCAGCTCTTTGAAGGGGCTGGGAGCGGTTTGTTCCCAACGCTGCCGATCCCTGTATCCCCAGCACCGAGTTTCACCCCCCAGATCCCAAGTGTTCCACTGCAGCTCCCATCCATGTGGAAGTGTTTGACCACAGCGCTCCCAACCCTCCGGGGCTTGGCCTTCCCACCCCAACCCTTGCACCCGTCTACGGCACAGAGTCACTGGGGAGGAACAAACTCCACTGCCTCTCCCAAGGTGGATGGGGAGATGGGCAAAGCTTCCTCTTGCCCCCACAAAAGGGCCACCAATCCCTTCTGCCAGCACCAGTTGAGTCACTTTCCAGCCATCCAAAAGGGAAAAGAAGCTGGGAGACGACCCCGGAGCAGGCAAGGTTGTGTTGTTCCCTTGGTTCTTGCTTCCCCCTCCCTTCCCTGCCCTGATAACCGGGATATTTATTTGTAAATAGAGGCTTCCTCCTGTGCAACATTCCTCCCACTCCCGGTGTGAATCACTTGGTGGAAGCACAAGAACTGGAATGGTGGCAGCGGAGCTGGCAGGGAGGAGCACGCTGCAGGCAGGGCAGGCAGGAGGGAGGCACAGCAGTAAGCCCAAAGGAATCCGGGGATGCTCTCCAGATCCTAGAAAGCCAGCTGGGAAGTCAGGGGTGAGTTGTACTGAGAGCATGTAGGATGCGCTGCAAGAAACACTTAATGGGGCAAAAAAGCCTGGTTTTGGGGGTGTACGATACAAGCAATGGAGATTGGTTAAAAGGAAATAAGTGAGCTTATTGATTTTTTAGTTTTCCTTTTCATTTGTAACCTGCCTTGGAAAAGCAGGAGCAATTCCTCAAGGGAATGTGTTGTATTTGAGCAGAGAAAATCGAACAAGAAGCTTGCACCCATCAGCATTCAGCAGCATCCCTGATGCCCAGCAGCATCCTGGACGCCCACCAGCATCCCTGATACCTACCAGCATCCCTGATACCCAGCAGCATCCCTGATACCCAGCAGCATCCCTGACACCCACCAGCATCCCTGATGCCCAGCAGCATCCCTGATGCCCAGCAGCATCCCCAATACCCATTGATATCACAGAATCCCAGACTGGTTTGGGTGGGAAGGGACCTTCAATCTCTGTGGGCTGGTTTTAGTTCTCCTTTTTGAATTGCTCTTTATCAGTGGCGTATTCTGGGTTTGGGCATTAAAGGGGTTATTTCCCCACCACCACCAAATTAAGTGAAACTGGGGGGCAAATCTTGTCACTCCCAGAGCCAAGCAGGCAGCAAACTGAATCCTGCCCTGGCAAACAGATCAATATAGGGCAAAACCCCCTAAATAAAGGTGATAACCCCCTGTGGGGAGGCTGGTTCTGGTATTCCTTTAGCTCTGAAGCTTTCCTTTTGCATTTCATCCCCCATCTCCTTGCCTGGGAGCAGGTTTTGGGGCTGGAGGGTGACATTTTGGACCCCTCCACTGCAGGGGCCTGCAGGAAAACCCATCCAAAGCACAGCCGAGCACAGATTTAGGGGTTGGTTTAGGTGATCCCCCACTGCAAAACGCTCTCTGTGCTCCCATGGTGCAAGGAGGAGCCTCAAGACCTGTGCTGGATGCTGCTGAACGCCAGCATCCGCAGCCATGGCTCTATCAGCTCGTCCCTCTCGTGACAGAGATCCCTTTAATCTCCAGTTAAAACCCTCTGACGTGGCGATAATAAGAAGGGGAAAAACCCTTCCCCATCCATATCCTGCCCCGAAGCAGCGTGTAACAAGGGGGCTGTGTGCTGGTGTCCGGCATAAAAGCCTGTTTATGTTGGATTGTGGAGGTGAAAAATGAGGCAAAGGGAAAACATCGCCCCGAGGGCTCACACAAACCCAGATTGTGGCCGTCGGGATGTTTTTGGCTTCTCTGTTGAGCACAGAAATCAATCAGGCTTGGGGGGGGGCGATGTGTGTGTGGGTCACTGTGTCCCACCCCATTTGCTTAATGCATGGGATCGGGATAAAGTCAACATTATACCTAAGGACAGGCACTGATTGCGGCTCACGCATCCCAACCTGCGATGCTCAAATCACTGCAGCACCCTTGGTGCTCCCCTAACCCCTTATTCAGACCTGGAATGCGGGGGGGGATCCAACCCATTCCCGGTGCTGCTGCCGGTTGGGAAGCGCCTCTGACGTCTCCTAACCCTGCTCCAAATGGGGCCTTAGTGGAAGGGGTGGTTTTTTTTCCTGGCTTTATCTTACAGCCACCGGTTCTGTTTTGCTGCCGGTTAAAGGGCTCTTTCATAGCTGGGATTTTCCCTTGGGAATGCACATTTTATCCAAGGTTTTGTGTTTTTTTTTTGTGTGTTTTCTCCTTTTCCTAAATAACTCCTTGGGGTTTCGTTCCTTCCCAGACATTTTCTTTAGCTCCCCCCCCCTTTCTGTTTATGGCCTTGCTTTGCAGAAAGCCTCTATAAATAAAGGATTTTGTGACCTACGGGCACCCCGGTTCAAGCCACTAAAAAGGGCTTTGTTGGCTGCAGCAAGGCAGCTGGTTCCAGGCTGGCACCTCTCAGGCTAAAGTCAACAGCGGGCCGGTTAGCATGAGATTATGTTATATATATATTGATCCTTATCCAGCAGAGAGGGGGGGATAAGCATGCTCCAAGCAGGAATTCTCCTTGGGAGCACCGAAGGGCTGATGCCCCGTGGCCGGTGCTGGTCTCGACAGGTCCCTGTGCGAGGTGCTGTGGCTGCTGTGGCTTTACCAGCTCTCCATAAGCCGCTGTGGTCACAAGGAGCCGCGTTCCTCCTGTGCCGCATCGGGCAGGCAGACACAAGGGGCATTGAGCTGCGGTGGCCACAAAGGCAGCGAGCACTCGAGTGGCTGCACGTCGGGCCGTGCCCTTAAAATCCCGAGGCCGTGCGCCGTTGGATGCATCCCAAGATACAACCGGCTCTGGTTTTCCTGCTCCGCGGGGTCCTTCCGAGGGTTTGGCAATGGGAAGCCACAGCCAAAGGGGATGCATGGAGATGGGAAGGGCAGGAGGGTGTTGGGGGGCTTCTCATGGAATGGGTTGGAAGGGACTTTAAAGCTCATCCAGATCCAGCCCCCTGCTACAGGCAGGGGCACCTTCCACTAGAGCACAGTGCCCAGAACCAGGCTGAGTAACCCCAACTCTCTCAGCCTTTCCTCATAGCAGAGGTGCTCCAGCCCCTGAGCATCCCCATGGCCTCCATCGCTCCAACAGCTCCATGTCCTTATGTTGGGGACCCCGGCACTGCAAGTGGGGTCTCCCCAGAGCACAGCAGAGTGGCTGTGCCAGCCACGCTCCTTTGGATGCATCCCAAGATACAATCGGCCTTCTGAGCTGCATCCCCCAAATCTGTGCGGGACCCTGGGGAAAGGGGCTCTGGAAACCCTCACAGCACAAACGGGATGCACCAAACGAGCTGTGCAAGACGTCGATCTGAGGTATTCCAGCTTGGGAAGCTTTGCCATGCCTCTCCTACCGCCCCGAGCCACCGGAGCAAAGGGACCTCAGTGGGAATAAGCACCCAAGCGCAGCCGGAAAGCAGGCGGCGGCTGAACAGAGGCCCTCAGTCCGTGGTCCATGAATCCATCTGTGAGCACAGGCAGGTCACAATGCACGGCCCATGCCCGAGCTGCCTGCACTGCCCTTGTTCTGCCTGTTTACCCATCATTTGCATTGTGCCTTGTGGCCGCCGGCAGCGCTGACTCAGCGCCCGCAGCCCCGTGTCCCCACGCAGCGACCTCCCGGGCATCCAGCCCTGCTCCCGAGCCAGCTTTTGGGATAGCATCGGCACAAGCGGAGCCTGCAAAGGAGACGCGGCTTTCCTTTGGGAACGTGGGCTCCCACTGCGATCCTCAGAGCAACAACCCCCGCCTCCCATGGGAATGACTCAGTTGGAAGCGGAGATGGAGGTGAAGGAGCGAGGCTGGAGGAGACACGGGTGACTCAGCCCGGCAGGAACGGCAGGAATGTACCTGCCCAGGGATATCGCGCACAGGTAGAACAGGTCCAGGCGTTCTCTGCTGCTCTCTGGGAAGCAGGGAGAGACCCTGCAGGGAGCCGATGTTCCCAAGCGCCTCGGAGAGCCTCCGAGATCTTGCAGCACCTCACACCTGCCTTTCCCAAGCATTTCCCAATGGGAGGGGAAGCTTTGGATTGCGCTGGAGCCCTGCAAAGAGGCGCTGCAGAGCTGCTGCCTCTGCACCCCCGAACACTGCTCTGACCCCAGAACACTCGAATAGCCTGAGAAACACTGAAATACCATGAGAAACACTGAAATACCACGAAAAACACTGAAATACCATGAAAAACAC